AATAAGGAGCCCCCAAAATAGTAAAGGTAACTATTTAGGCCCCTGTAGTAGGGTTCCGGTTTGGGGGATTGGGAAATATTATACTATGATCATAATAAGGAACCCCCAAAACCCTAGTCTAATTATTAAATATTATTAAGGCCCCTATGTTAGGGTTTAGGTTTATTGGGGTTGAGGGTTTGGGGATCATGTGCTCTTGACACGCAGCTGGATGTGCTACTCCAGAAGTTGCTGGAGGGTCGGTTCCCCCGAAGGTGGGTTTCGCGCTCCATTAAGATCCGGAGCCCCAAACTCTATGAGCTGTTCCAAATGTTATGGCAGAAGTTCCACCGGTCAGTTCCAGAACCCGAACCCTAAACCCTAAACCCTAAACCCTAAACCCTAAACCCTAAACCCTAAACCCTAAACCCTAAGCCCTAAACCCTAAACCCTAAACCCTAAACGGGAATGTCACACCTTGCGCGGGTGAGGGTGCCATGTGATGACGCGGTCGCGGGAAGCTGGGCTAGGGTCTACCCATAGGCTCCCCATGGCAGTTCCATTTTGGGGGTTCATACAGGATCCGATAAGGTAATCCCAAAAAGGAATTACAATGGAGCCTATGGGTATGCATTATTTCTACTAGGAAATGATGTTTCCTGATAGGCAAAGTAAAGTTTTTGTGAGACTCCGAGCAAGTGTTGGTACATCGATCTGTTTGCGGTCCCCTGCTGCGACGATGGACTCAGGTTCGCGTCTGGCGCAACTGCATGCACCTCAACTCAAGCCTAGGCCCAGGCCTGAGGCTCTCATATGACTCATATGAATTTTCAATTCATGTATACCTATAGTCTCCATTGTAGTTCCTTTTTTGGGGATACCTTATAGAATCCTTACTATATTATTGGTTAAACCAAAAAAGGAACTACAATGGAGGCTATAGGTAGTACCCAAACCCCAAGCGCTCAAAGCCTCAAAGTCTTCCAAGGAAATCTCCAGCCTCATGGCCACGCCCTGGATGATGACCTCAGTGCGGTGGAGCTCTGGGGCCGGGGATACGGGTTTGGGTTATAGCCCGGTTTAGGGTTTAGGGTTTTGGGTTTAGGGTTCAGGGTTTAGGGTTTAGGGTTTAGGGTTTAGTGGGTTATAGCAGTTATAGCACACCTGCACTCCTCGACCGCAGAGAGGCCTCAGCTTCCCGGGGAATTGGGGGGGAAGACGCCCACCTGTCCGCTTGACTTAAGATGGAGTGAGCGACTATGCACATGGTATCCAATTGTATGCTCACACCTGGTGGCTCGTCTAGGATTCAACATTCACACTTGTGCAAGCCTGCATCTCGCGAATTCTCCTGTGACATTGCACTGTGCAAGGTTCCAATGTTCAGGGTGCGGCCAGTCGAAACACTACGTGACGGTCTCATGATCGTACTACTCGGTGTTAACATGGCCACCATCATGTGTTTCCTGAGCAGAGCAGCATCAACATTCATGCAACATTCCGTTGGCCTCATAGCAACACCGACGGCATCAAATTCGAACATCCATCACGACCTTCATGTGGTCATCATCGCCATCAACATCCGCCATCATCTTTTTCCTCGACATCGTCGCCGTCGTCATCATAGACAGCAAGGTCACCATCGTCATCATCATCCTCGTCGCCATCGCTTAGCTCTCTGCCATTCTCTGCCTATGACAACTGGCACTGTCTGGGCCCAGTGGCCGCGAGTCGGAAGCAGGCGAAAGCCACGTAGAAGCTCCAGTGGTCGATGGGGTACTGGACCTTGGGAAAATTGTCTCGGGACTTGTTTTAGGGTTTAGGGTTTAGGGTTTATGGTTTAAGGTTTAGGGTTTAGGGTTTTCTCTCAGGACTTCGTAGGGCAGTGGACCTTCGGGGCCATGGCAGGCTGGGCAAATGCTCGTCTCGCCCGATGCACCAGCAGCACTATCACCATCATCATTATCATCATAATCATGGCAGGGCAGGTGTAAAGGAGTCGATGTGTGTACACATGGACATATATGCAAAGCTTCGAATCAGGGCAGACGCCCTTTTTTCTTTGAGATGCATGCTCGGGCGGGCACACCACCCCATGCGACTTCACGGCCTGTTGTTGAGGTGAGACAGGGCTCCAAGAAGAACACTATGAAGGCGATGGCGGCTCCGTCTGCTCACCAGCGTCGCTGATGTCGTGCCTGACCTGCATCACACGGCGTTCCCTGAACCTTGACTGACAACCTGCAAACTCAAACATATTTCAGACTCCAAAACAGGACGGCCATGCTTCAACCTTAAACCCTGCCCCCGAGGGTAAGGGATGACATGGTCGCTAAATGCCCACGAGATTCATGAAAAGAAACCCTCAATTCAAATCAGCTTTCAAATGCCCAAGAAGCTTTGCTGCGTAAGTCGGCCTCGTCATCATCCACGGACCTGGTCTCCTTGATGAACCTGCAGGCAGGGGCGCGATGCGACGACAGGGCTTCATTGCACGACCCTCGAGCTGGAAGATCGCTCGGAACGAGACGAAGTGAATACCGCTTATGCCATGGCTATGCGCGCATAATTGAAACATCCCGAGGAACTACTATCGCTAGGCTACCATAACACCAGCAGAGAGAATCTACTTCTACTGCTAACGCTAGTAACGACTGCGCTTCCTGCTGCGACTATACTTCGCCTACTGCTAATCCATCCATGGCAGCATCATGGTAATGATCATATAGGTGTATACATTATTGATGTTGGATGGTGTCGTACATGATGTAGTGTATATATGTACATATATGTGTACATGTATTGCATGCATGTATAAGTAATTATAATACATATATATATATATATGTATGAATATACTTACTTATGTATGTATACATGTGTATATATACATGATATGTGTATATAAACATATATGTATATGCACACGATGTTGCAGTCGAGTGGCTTGACGGCAGGCTCTGGAAGGCGGCGCTTCTTCGCTTTCGCCTTTGAGATCAGCAGCCTCGGCTGCCTGAAAGTAACCATGGGGTACGGTTTAGGGTTTAGGGCTTAGGGTTTAGGGTTTGGTTGATGATAGAAATCCTGCATTACCCACAATTAGGGAAAAAAACATACCATACTTCCCATAGCTTAGGGATTAAGGCAATGCAGGATTTATACCATCAACAGTAGTTCTCTAAATGAGGGGCCCTTGTAGGGGTTCCTGAAAGGGTACCATAAGGGTAGCTCTCTAAATTAGGGTCCGTCTTAAGTCCTTCTTATAAGGTTACCATTTTGGGGACCTAGAAAGGCAACATAATTTAGAGCACTGCCCAATGATCTCCGGCTTCCTTAACGTTGCAAAGTAACTCAGACCGCCGGGACAAAGGAAACGGAAGTTGGGGGAAGTTGTGGGCAGAATTCAACCCTTAGGTCCAAGAAGCCTCCTGATGCTTACCCTTAACCCCAAACCCTAAACGAGTTGTACTCCTTGCCTCTGCTTCTCTTTTTTCCGCACGGACCCCGTCCTACTTTCAAAGTCCCAAGTGGACCTCCAATCCCTGAACCCTTCCAGTTCATGAACCTCGAACCCCCAAATCAACCCGACACGGAAACACTAAACCACGCGCCTCAACCAAAATGTAAAATCTAGAAGTTACAAGACTCTTATAATCAGAGGCAAAACAGGAATGGTGCGACTAGTGATACTAACAATGACAGCAGCTTTCTGCACCTCGGCGGCGGCAACTGCTTCGGCGGCGGTAACTGCTTCTTTTCCTTGGGGGTGCTCTTTCTGTACTTTAAGAGCTTGGGGCTTTGGGAGTTCTGGAACTGTTGTCGCGCAGAAGCTTTCAGGAGTTCTTCGTTTTCTTTACGGTTCAGGGTTCAGGGTTTAGGTCTCTGCCTTTGAGGAGGGTGAGGTTTTTGGGCGATCTTGGCCGTTGGCTTGGCTGAAGCAAAGTGTGTAGCTGAAAGAGCCCTCGTAGAAAACCTCACTAGCCTGATAATAAGCCTCGTAGTATCCCAGAAAGGGAGACGTAAAGCAACCTGGCTTTGGAAGCTGCTTATGGAGGCTCTGATGGGGAAAGCATGGAACCACTTGCGGTTCGAAAAACAAAAAGCTCTCAGCCCAGACCTGCCTCACCAAGTAGGGTTTAGGGTTTAGGGTATAGGGTTTAGGGTTTAGGGTTGAATCCAGCGCACCAAAACTTTCGCGTTTTGCTTTGGGGCTTTTGGGATTTAAGGCTTGCATGTAGAGGGGAACAGCGGCCGTGTACGGGCGATGTACTAAACTATGCTACAATATACTATACTATACTATACTATACTATACTATACTATACTATACTATACTATACTATACTAAACTATACTATGCTAGGCTATACTATGCTGTTCCATACTATTCTATGCTATTCTATACTATGCTATCCTATACTGTATTATCCATCCTATACTATCCTATGCTATACTATGCTGTGCTATACTACACTATGCTGTACTATGCTATGCTATACTACGCTATGCTATACTACTTACTATACACATACAACCGAATAAGACGCCAAGCCACCTCCGTCGGGAGGATGGCAGCTCCGGGCGGCTGCCTCGTCCGCCTGGCAGCGTTGCATGGCAGCGTTGCACCCAAAGCCTCCTTACACGGTTTAGGGGTTTAGGGTTTAGGGTTTAGGGTTCAGGGTTCAGGGTTTAGGGTTTAGGGACATATCACATATACATGTATATTATATGTATATATGCAGAAACATGCTCATGCTCATGAACAAGCAGCCTGACGTATTTGTACTTTTGCACTCAGATACCAGATCACCCAAGACATGCGTTTAGTAGATTGTCACTGCAGAAGCCAGACTGTGCAATCCATGTTCAGTCATGCGAGACCCTTTGACGCATGCGCAGACCAAACTGGATACCTCAACCAAGACGGATAGTAATCAAGCAGTTGCACTGGTGTAGAATACTCTGATGGAACCGATGCTTGCTGGACTGCTGCTGCACCACATTGCTCAAGCGACGCCCAACTATGCGCAAAGCAGGCCAACACCGTAGCCTGTTGCATATCCTCCAAGACGGGTAATACATATCACAGTGTATGGTGGCTTTCGTGCTTCAGGTGCTTGTAGATAAACAATGATAAACAGTCCTGCACAGGACGACTGTGCATTGGACCGATCCTTCACCGAATTCTTCATGTCCGCAAACTCAGAATCGAACTCTGACAGAAGCAGCTCTTGCGCAAAGAGACCCGGGTGCACGCCCTCTCCAGATTTACGACCAGCATCCACGATCTCTTTCTCCAAAACTTCATCTGAGGCAAGGATGGAGGAAAAGTGGTTCCCGGTTCTAATCGCCTGCGCGCCGGTCAGCGTGGCCATGTCGACAATGAGCTCTGCACCAAGGTTCTTCACGGCATGCGCCACACCATCGGCTAACACTAAACGACCCTCAGCATCGGTGTTATTGATTTCAGAAGTCAAGCCTGAGTAGTGCATTATGATATCATCGTTCAAGAACATGCCTGGACCAATGCCATTCTCGGCGATGCATAACACACAATGAAGCGGAGCTCCTGTTGGCAGTCCACCGCATTTGACTGCTGCCAACCAGGCACCAAAGACACCCGCAGCGCCTCCCATGTCGCGTTTCATGCCGCACATGCCTTCGCGCGACTTCAATGATGCACCTCCCGTGTCATAGGTGATGCCTTTGCCGACAAGTGCCACACCGACAGGACCGCCGTCCGTCGACACTCCACTGGGGTTATGGGTGAGCGCTATGACTTTGGAGTTCTTGCCAAAATCCAAGTGCAATACTCACGGATGTCCGGGTGCTGGATGCCACCGCCACTTGGCCAGAAGTCGAAGTTGCTGCGTGGTGCACGTTCATGTCCGCTTGCTGGACGTCGAAGCCATTCCGCCAAAGTCGAAATTGCCGCGTGGTGCGGGCTCGTGGGTGTCCGGGCGCTGCATGTCAAAGCCAGCTGAGGTCGAAGTTGTCGCATGGTTCACGCTGGTGGATGTCTGAGTGCTTAAAGTCGAAACCACACCGCGTGTGAAGTTCTCTTAGCGGATGTCCTGGATCAAGTCGATCTTGGTGAAGATCAAGAGGTCCCCGTCGCCCGTCAGGGAGACATGCAGGTTGGTTGTGTCCTTCCCGTTCAAGTCGGTCCATGATGTACATCAGCCGCTTATTCGCTGCCCTCAAAAAGAGCTGCCACTGCACACAATTGGCAAAGAAGGTCTCGAACACCTTCAGCTTGAACACTCCCAGGGTGTCGTCGTCCAGATCGAGGAAGGTGCGCAAACACTTGTAGTACGGGGAGGGGAAAACTGCTTGTTGGCATCCACCTTCTTCTCAACGTACCCCCAGAACCACATCCAGGCATTCTCGCTCCAAGTTTCATCGCGACGGCAGCAGGGATCGCAGAGAAGCGAACATCGCGGACGTAAATTCGCATAAAGTGTGACCTTGTCGTAGCGGGCCAGCGTTAGCGCCAGGACGTCGCACTCCTCCTGCATGCGGTCGATGTTGCTGACGTACGGAACCAGGGACTGCATGGCATACAGGATGTCCACGAACCATCTCCGATCCCCCACCCCCATGACCGAGGCGTAGCTGCTCAAGCTCAGGTCAGCAGGAGCCCAGCTGCAGAGCTAAGCTCTGCAGCTGCTCCGCTGCGGCCTCTGCTGTGCCATGGCTCCCTGTCGACTAGGGCGGCCACATACTGTGCAAGCACAGGAGGCAGGGTCGACATCTGGTCTGAGTCGATTGGGTTGCCAAAAAGTGCGTCCAGCAGCGGGGCATCCTTGGGTGGCTGAAGGACATCACACAGCGACTTTCCGGCAGAATAGATGTCGGTGGACGTGTCAAAATCTCGGCCTGCCAAAAATTCAGGCGAGGCGTACCGGACGTCACCGCGTCGTGCAGCATGAGCCCCTCTCTCACCTGTCAAATCCACCGCTGTGCCGAAGTCGGCAATGACTGCC